GGGTATAAATGGGTACCAGTAAACCTTGTGATGGACTAGCATCCCATCCATAAGGGAGAAGAAATACTACGACTCACTTCATACTACCATATACAATCATGGTATCAAAAAACTGTCCAATCACTGGTGAATAAATTTGTTATCATTTTTGTGCCACAATAGGTTACCATGGCAACAGTATGACCTGCTAAAAACACCCTTAAATACAGCTTTAGGGGCTTATAACTCAAAAACGGTACGGTGAAATTTTTTTATATTCATTGTCAAATTTTACCATGATTGTAGCATCAAGAGATAAAGAGTGGTTATAATGACCTATCAAAATCTAAGTGCTGGAAACTGTTTTGAGCCACCTTAAAAGCTTGACTTGCAGTTTGTATATCCATATGGCTGCATATGGCCAAGTTCTTCGATTATGTAGATGCAAAAAAGAACTTGGCTGTTTAATACCTTGTAGCCTCAGGTTAATTCAAAGACTTTTCAAATTAGTTGAAGGACTATTGGTAAAACTTCAAGGACTTTTCAAGGAGTATACATTGTATGTGAATTTTGTATGTCACTCATGTGTACTAGTGAAAACTGACAGAGGTGGTTTCTAAGGCATTATAATTCTAATTTATTACATCAAACATACTTGTACATAATGCTCACATGACTTCACTCACCTTCTAATCGCTTGCTCAACTCCCTTGTGAACACAACCTGTGCTAACTTTGATTGAGCATAGCGACTCTTCACTTTTCCAAACTTCTCTTTGGAAAGTGTAAAATCGTCAAGTTGGAGATCTGCATATTTTAGCTCATGCATTAAAGATGATACATTTACAATACGACTTGGTGCGGATTTCTTCAGTTTCTCCATCACTAGTAAAGTGAGCAGAAAATGGCTAAGGTAGTTTACTTGAAAAATACTTTCATAGCCATCCTTTGTCAACCTGTAAGTTCCAGAAAGCCCTGCATTGTTTACAAGAATGTCCAGCCTCTCTTCTGTTTCATTGATGAGCTTAGCAAAAGCTCTGACAGACTCAAAAGAAGCCAGGTCAAGAATCCTGACAACAACTTTATCACTTCCAGTCTCAGCAACAATGTCCCTTGCAGCATCTTTGGCTTTCTCCTCATCTCGGCAAGCCAAAATGACCCTGGCACCTCTCTCTGCAAAATCCAATGCTGTCTCCTTTCCAATTCCAGTGTTGGCACCTGTCACAATTGTAGTCTTGCCTAAACATAACAGCAATAAAACCCTTTTAAAATCAGTGTTACTGTAAGACTGTAGTGTAGTCACAGAAAAACAAGCCAGCAAAACTGGAGAAGGTCAAAAAGTACAAGGACGAGGGGTTAAACTTTCTCCATATCCCTACTCATACACTGTCCCCACAAAGGCTTTTACTAGTTTCGTCCTGTGTCTTCTCCACTGGAATGCTTGTACTTAATGCTCCCTTTTTTCCCACTTAAATGCTCTGACTATCCTATAAAACTCACCTCTAAAATACTCAGACAGGCAAATTCAACAGAACAAAAAGATATCAGTCACCTTGGCATCCTAATTTAACAGACTAAGCACTGTAGTTCACTAAGTAAGGCTTAAAGGAATATTTTCAACAAAAAATTTGGTGAAAACCAAGGTCAAAATGTCGTTAATTGCTTTCGCTAATTTTTGTGTTGAAAGTAGTTCACTGTAGTTGAAATTAACACAAAAAGTCGTGCTATACATTGCTTGGCATTAGTTTCAGTTGCCACTTTCTCTTAGAGACTTTTGTATTTTTTGCTGAACTGAGAAAAAAAGTTTTTGGGGGTAAATCCTACTGAAATGTTCACAAAAATGCTAGCATACTGTGCAAAACTCTATCATTCTGCACTTTCTTGCCCCAATTGTTTGACTCAAATTGCCTTGTTTTCCTGCAAAGACACAAATCGAATAAACAAGCAAATTTTGCACTGTAGATTGCAGGCAATGCATCTGAAAAGTTGACAATAATTATTATATTAAGACCCAAGATTATTAACCTCTATCTGGCAAAGACATAACTCTACAGTATCACTACAGATTTCGTTAGGTCAAAGAAAGGCTAGAAATAAAAAGTATACATATTTTGAGGCCAAGCTCACTTTATTTGAAACTTCTATAGCCTGGATGAAATGAACTGTGAATCACCTTTGGAAGTAAAACCTTCAAGTTGTACTTTATATTCTGCACATTCACACTTTTTGAAGTGTCACTCAGTATGCTATGGTGAATCTTACCATCCAATCGTGCCTTGCTCTTGCATACTCCTCCACTGAAATACCACTTTATAAGTACTACCAAACAAATTGTCACTCCTATGACAGCTATCAGTGTTCTAACAGCACTTTGTGAGATGAAATTGTTGCCTTTATGAGATTGAAAAAAAAAACATAGTTATTTTTTACTACAATAACACAATGACACAGTCTCACTACGACAATAACAAAATTTCTTGCAACACAAATACGTCAGGTTTCCAATGACAACATTTGTCTGCCATAAACTTGATTAAGTCAGTGAACTTTTTTTTAATTGTATAATTACAGTCTAACGTACTTAGTTTCTGATTTCTGAACCAGACCACAAATCTCAATGAGTTTCACTCCATTTTTGTGAAGAGTAGCAGCCTAAACCTGTAATTCTGGGTGGCAATTATGGCAAAGCGATTTTAACTTTAAAATACTTTTAGGTGTTCAAACCGTTTTACTCTCATGTAGTGTAACACAACATAAATGAGGTGTATAAACCTAACCATACTTGATGCAGGAGTCCCTGTAACCTAACCTCTAATCAAGCATTTTTTTTTGGAATGGGAGAAGGAAAAAGGGAGAAGGAAAAAGGGAGAAGGGAA